AGGTGGAGAGGAAGACAGGGGGTGGGAAATAGATAAAAGAGAAGTTGCTAAAAGAAGATCACAAAGAGGGACCATCGAGTTAGAGAAACTTGGACTCATTCCCAGGAATAACAAGGGAGGAAGAGATTAAAAGGATTTTAGTAGAGAAATGACAAGAGCTGTGTTTTGGTCCCATCACTCTGTTGCTTATGCAGAAGACACATTTGAAGGAACGAGACTAGATCTAGGGACAGCCTCAAGCTGTTGCATCAGGGCAGATGAAGGAAGATAAAGGCTTGAACCAAAACATTGAGATTAAGAATGGAAAGAAGGATACAGGTTTGAGAATGGTTTAGAAGATAAATTTGACAAGATTGGATGATTTATTGAATAGGGAATATATTAACCATGTCAACCACAGTGTCCGCTGTGCCGGCTTCCCCTAGGAAAGATTAATGTCCAGTCCACACCACTTAGGGGACAAACCAAGGTGGTCCGATTTCTTATCACATTAACCTGCTCCTTCTGTTACAGGTGCTTGGAGTGGAATGGGCGCCTGATGTAATGGAAGCCTTTCAAGAGGCTGACAAGTCCCCTGCCCCGTGGCCGAGATCCCAGGAAGCCAAACCACTGAGCACAGAGAAAGCAGGCTGTAAACAAGAGGGACAGAGGGCCCAATGAGATCAAGTTGAGGCCATATAAAGAAAGACAATTGGACTCATGAGACATTACAAGCAAGCCAAAGCTATGAGGGTAATCTATGATGTAAAGAAAAGATACAGGAAAGAGGAAAAGAATAGGAAAGCTAAATGTCAGAGATGAATATCACAGAGATGTTAGGGTCATGTGAATGGCCAGGAAGCTCCACAAACTGCAGGTCTTGAGATTTCTGGAGTTGCCTTGGGTCCAGCTGCACTTCTTATGAGGCCTGAGTCATTGCCATTAGACTCCTGTCTTCCTTTTTACCCAAATAAGCTCCCATTACTTGAAGTAAATTGATGATGTCTCTATTCCTGGGCAATCTAAAAATGCAACTGGAATAAGGAGGGTGAGAAGAAAAGATTCAAGGATGACTCCCAGGTTTCTAGCTTGTGGGATCTGATAAATGCTAGTGCCATCAATTGAAATAGAAAATCCAAGGATAGTAACAAGGTTAGAAAAGAGGATGATATGTTGAATTCGAGATGACTATAGGCCTTTCAGAGGAGTTTGTTTTAGAGTTGAAATTTTGGGGAGAGGTCTGGGCTGGATATAGAGATTTAATTCGCATCAGCATTTGGTTAGTAACTGTAATGGTGACTGTGGATGAGATCAACCATGATGAGTGTGTACAGTGAGAAACGCAGAGAGTTTAGGTTGAAACCCTGGAGAGTACTAGTATTCCAATGGCAAATGGAGAAAGGGAGCCCCAAATGAGTTGCAGGAGGATTGTTCAGAGAAGTACAGGAGGCAGTGGGAAAACAACACACAGGCCAAAAGAATAGATAGATTCAAGGGGTATGCAATCTGAAGCGTCAAATGCAACAGGGAAGTTAGTAAGACAAGAACTGAAGAGTATCCCCTGGGTTTGGACTTTAACTTTCAGGCTAGTTTTGAACTCCTGACCTTGAGCAATCCGAAACAATAGCAATAGGAAACTATAGCAAAAGTGCTTTCAATTAAGAGATAAAGATGGAAGATTGTGATAAATTGCAGCAAATTTGGGACTTCTAAAATGTCACTGGGGCTTATGGTCAAGATAGTGGGGACAGAATCTTTAAAAACCTTCTCCTTTATAAACTTTAGACTCAGGGAGGAAATGCACGTGTGTGTATGTGTGTGTGTGTGTGTGTGTGTGTGTGTGTCTGTCTGTCTGTCTGTCTGTCTGTGTGTCTCAAAGAACAAGATTAAAATTGTCTATAGGCCGGCCGCGGTGGATCACGCCTGTAATCCTAGCACTCTGGGAGGCCAAGGCGGGCGGATTGCTCAAGGTCAGGAGTTCAAAACCAGCCTGAGCGAGACCCCGTCTCTACCATAAAAATAGAAAGAAATTAATTGGCCAACTAATATATATATATATATATATATATATATATATATATATATATCAGCCGGGCATGGTGGCCCGTGCCTGTAGTCCCAGCTACTCGGGAGGCTGAGGCAGGAGGATCGCTTGAGCCCAGGAGTTTGAGGTTGCTGTGAGCTAGGCTGACGCCATGGCACTCACTCTAGCCTAAGCAAGAAAGCGAGACTCTGTCTCAAAAAAAAAAAATTGTCTATAAAATGTAATAGAACTGCATATTCTGTATCTAGTGGACTAGAGTTATGAGGCCAACAGGGCGACAGGACCAGAAATGGGAAGTGGCTGCTTGGATTTAATCCTGCAGAAGAAACCAAATGTGCCTAAAAGGTGGTGAAGAACTGACGCCTGTCTTCCTGCATGAAGCCAAGAACTAGGATGGAGCTCCCCACCTGAAAATGGGAGCTTGGATTGGGGTCCAAATGAGTTGTTTTTTTTCATGTAGAGTAGATGATGAAGGGAAAAGTTTGAAAATTAAAAGAGCAAAAGCAAACACGCCAACTATCAGTTAAACATGGCTGTTTGAACATGGAAATTTATCTCTTCTCCTTCCTAATACAACACTAAAATGAGAATAAAGCATTACAAATGCTATAGACCCACAAGGACAGAGAGAATGGAAGATGAGAGATGGCATCACAAATGATGAGGAGATGGCATTAACAGATCTGAGAAAGCTGAATGCCAAGGGCCTGCCAATTCCAAACCATGATGCAGGACACTGGGATAGGGATGTCTCCATGTTCCCTAGCACCTGGAGCTACAGAGGTCAGCGGAGGTGCAGGCTGGGGATGAAAAAGATGGACTGAAGGAAAATGAAAGAGTAAAGCCCTGAGTACTCTCCCACCTCTTGCAGAACCAAGCAGCAACCCTTTCCCAATCCAGTAGGAGATAGACGGTTCATTCTGCAGTGAAACTAAACCAAAGAGGCTCCATATTCAGGAAGACCAGACTCACAAAACAGTGGAGGACAGATGCCTAATTAAAATCAGGATTTCATGAAAGTGAGGCTCCCAGCCTCCTGTCTTTGCTTAGCTCCAAGTAATAATCCTATGTGAATAGATTCTGGACAGGAAATTGGTAGATTATTCTCTGGGGGAACTGAGTGTCTCAAGAGAACAGACCTACAGATGCTGACATTTGTGAGTTTCAAAATAAAGCAGCAGTTGGTCCTTATTTGACCAACCTACAGTGAAGCACCAGTCAACAAGCACCATCCGCGATGGAGACCCTTTGCTCTTAGTTAAGAAGGGTCAACCAAGGATATCAGAAGCAATTCTCCAGGATGAAAAAAGAGACCAAACCAACCACAAAAAAAGAAAATGGAGACAATGAAGAAGAAGGAGAAATTTTTTAAAACTGTAATATTCTCAGAGAAATAAGAGAAGACTTTACTCATGACAGAAGAATAGACAAAAATAGGATGTTATAAAAAGGAACATTCACAGAATAATAAAAAGGTCTTGAATTTTTTTTAAAATATGCTAACCAAAACAAAAGAAAATCAATAGAAAGCTTGAAAGACAAAGTTGAGAATGTGTCACAGAAAATAGAACAAAAATGAAAGGAAATAAAAAATAGGAGAGAAGAGATAAGATCGGTCCAGGAGGTTCAACAACAAAATATCCAGACAGAAAGAACAGAAAAGCAGAGGGGAGAAAACTATATTTTTAAAATAATAGTTTTAAAAGGATAGAAGTTTTCAGAATAAAAAGTTGCAACCTGTGTCTAGCAAGTTTAAAAAAAAAAAAAAGAAACTATACCATTGTGCACATCCATTTTGAAACTTTAGAACAACAAGACCAAAGAGAAACTGTCAAAAGCCTACAGGGGGAAAAAATAGGTCACATATAAACCTTCTAGAATCAGCTCCACCAGCAGCTGGAATGCAACATAACAATGTCTTCACAAGTCAAAGTGAAAATTATTTCAGTCTAGAACCTATACTCAGGCAAATTATCAATCAAGTGTGGAATAAAAATTAGACTACAGATAATTGCAGAAAGCACAGTCTCAAAAAATGTATTTTCCATGCACTATTTCTTAGGGAGTAACCAGAGTATGTATCCATTAAAAAGAGGAAGCAAACCAAGAAAAGGAATCCACAAGATAGACGAAACAGAGCTGATGGACATCCCAATTACCCTGGTTTTATCGTTTTACATTGTATACATGTATCAAAATATCAATGTGTACCCCCAAAATATGTACAACTATGATATATCAATAAGACAAGAATATCAGAAATCACAACTAAAATAAAATCAAAAACTATAAGTGCTTTGCAATACTTTTCCCAAAAGTTCGAGTGAAATGTCTCTGTAAGGCCCTTAAGATGCATCAATACTGACTGGACTCCTCAAAAACAAACTCAATAATAAACATTTCAGTTTCAGCATTATATTCACATTACATTCTCATAACACCCAATGTCAACTCCAGTAGCAATCAAAGTAAACGCTAGCCATTTTGTCCTTACAGCGAGAAACGTGATTCCTCATATGGACTAAAAATTGTCATGACTGTGGTTTGCATTTTCTCATAACTGCCCAACCACAAGAGAGAAGAAACATAGTCACTTTCTTCACGGTAACTTCATGGGTAGAGCCCAATTATTAATAGATTCACGAAGTGTGAGGTATTGTGTTGCCAAATCCAAATAATTTGATAGGGTGTCAGATTACTTGCTTGAACCTGGGTGAGATTGAGTCTACTATTCATTTTGTAAGAAAATCTCCACTCCCATATAATCCCTAGAAACTTAATTAGTTAGGGGAAACTATCTGGTCAGAGGCTAAAAACAGTAGCGTTTCCCATTTTACACAACCTAGTACCCGTATGTGAAGAGATTTTCATAGTTATCTGTTTTATGCATTTAAGCATGGGAAACACCATGTGCATGTATCACTTCCACGAGGAGCCACCACCCTCTCAGAAAGGAGGCCAGGTGACCTGAACTGACCTCAGCTACTTTTGGGCAGACCCAGTCAGCCTCCTTTTGAGGGGCCTTACTTCCTGAACAGCCAACAATTGTCCCTTCCCCACTTCTCTTTCAGAAGAATGTGGCTTCTTCACCATGGCCCATGTTATTCCTCCATCATCTTCTATCCTCTTTCAGCTCAGGTAGTCCCAGCTAAGGCATGGGGTGAATCTGCTATAGTCCTGACAGAAACTACCTGGGAGAGCTCGGTCAGCCTTCCTAAGTGCAGAAGTTACAGAAGCCGTGGCCTCAGGCCAAGATTCTAAAGTGACCAAATAAAGGGAAAGAGGCGGTGACCTTCCCAAGACCCCTAATCCTGTCCAGGCCTGGGTCTGTGTCCTCCTGTTTTCCTTGGTCAGCTGTATTTCAGAACAGTCATCTTTTACTAAACCAAAGTATGGCCATAGTTAGTTACTTAACATTTGAGTTGAACTATCTTGAGACTATTTCAATTTGGCATTTTTAATACGCTTCTTAAAAGTCACCTTTCTGAAGTATAAAATTATTTCTGAGATGCCATCCTCTGAAAGCCATTTTTAAAAACTCATTTGGCTTGAGCAAATCAGTGAAAGCCAAGGTCATAGCTCTCAAAAGACTTTTCTGTAAAAACAAAGATTAACTCACACATGTTAAAGTAATAACGTAACACTACATCTTGAATTCTCTCTTTGAAGCCGGCCTCCCTATCTTAAGCTGTTCCTACAGCTCCCATGCAATGGCCTTGACTAAAACATTCTCAGGGCCCTATTCTCTCCTTTGCTTTCCTGACACTCCTTCCAAAATCTAACCCTCGTGGCAGGGATTTGGTGCCAATTGTACTTCTGGCACCAATAGCAGCTTTGTTGAGGACTCCACATCAGCAAGAGGAAAACACACACACAGTAAGGCTAAAGTATCAACATATTAAGCCAAGGATACATAATCTTATCAGAAGTGGCCACACAGACCCAGAGCAAATGCAGCAAATCTCAGCCTGGTTTTCTTTGTCCTCCAGAGCCCTTAAGAGGCAGTGACATTAAGCATACAAGTTAGGGGCGAGTCAGATCTGAGAAGCTTCTTTCTTGCATGCTCTCAGCTACTACCCTATATTGTACAGCAGTTCATGCCTGTTAATAAACTATCCTCTCTGAGTTTCACACCCACCCTTCTATGCTCTACTTTGTGATGGGGTTGGGACAGCCAGTGTCCTGTTAGGCTCTGCCAATAGGGGGAGCTAGAGGATCTCTGGCAGGTTAGAGGAAGGAGAGAAGGCAGGCTTCTTCCTGTCCACCTCCATCTCCTTTGAGCGGCACTTCCCACCGCAGTACCTCACACAGCCTCTGCAGCTGGTTACAGCTGAAGTTGGTCCAGTTATCCAGCTTCTTTCCACGCTCCCAGAGTCAGTTTTATTGTACCCCTCAGAAGTATTAGCACCATCCACACAGAGCACCTTCCTCAAAAGTCTGAGCCTCAAATCTGAGCCTCCTGTGAGCTCCTGAGGTATTACAGACAGAGCACCCTCCCCCAAAGGGCTGAGTCCCAACAATGTGGGTTTTCCTCAAGAGTTCCTGGGATGTGATAACCCCAACCTCCCCCCTTTGTTCCCCTAGCCCTAGGATGGTAGCTGCCTCATGCCTCTGTGTCCCCTCAGTATTACCTTGCTGCTTTTTCAGTCTTTCAACACCTGTTGAATCAATTCCTCAATTCCCTATATCCAATTCTCCCTGTAGAAATAACTAGAATAAAAAAAAAAAAAAGAAATAACTAGAATAGTTTCTACTTTACCAAGGAGACCCTAACTGACATGAAAGTACATCCTCTGTTGATTTTAAAATTTACCATTGTCTAACAAATGTAATTAATGACTAAATATAACTAATTGGCGATGCTTGTGAAAACTAATTCTCACAAACATTTAGGCTGTTGTTTCACATTTATGGAGGATTTACATTAGAAATTGTTGGTAGTGTAGTAACCTTTATATTTCAGAAGTTCTGCTTTCCAGTTATGGCTTTCAATCTCAAACTATTTTCTAGATCAAATATTAAAAATATATCTCATAGATAAGGTTCTTTACACAATACTTCATAGTGTCTTAAATTTGCAATTTATCTCAGCAACATCAAATTGTTTCTGCAGTAGAAAGTTGCTACCTGAAGAAAGATTATTTTATGATTTAAAAAATTTGCCTAAAGAAAAAAATTTGAAAAAAATCAAAAATAAATAAATTAAATAAAACTTCCCATTGCCAAACATTATGCCATGCACCGTTTTATAAACTCCAACTGGGAGTCAATGAAAAAGGAAAGAAGAAGTTATTTCCAACCATCCCAGGCCAGGACTGCTAGACCTTAATCACCTAGTAGGGAACAAATGGTCACATGTTTAAGAAAATACTACCAGATAGAAAAAGTCCAACTGCCACAAACTTCTGATATTTTGAGAACCCTACATGACCATGAAAAGTATCCAACTTTGAACATTCCTTACAGGGGCATCTTTGCCATCTTGCCCCCTGTACTTATGCATTCATGTCCCCCACCACCCCGCACTTGCCAGTCTTACAATGAGGTAAATTTGTGAAGGCTGGAGTTACAACCACCCAGAGGGTATGTGCCTTCTGACTGAAATGAAATTAAATGCAGCATTTCTTAAAAAGCCAATTATTTCCAACCTGTTCCATTAGAGTCAAACATGCTAAATGAGCATGTAACATATTGACTTTTGTGCCCTGTGGCATCTGGGGCCATAAATGTCCTGCTTATCATAATACTCATCTCCATAGCTCTTGCAAATCAGGACCCTTCCCAGGAGGGCATACGTGGTCCATTCATAATAGGATGCAAGAACAGGCGCCTAAAACGACTGCTCCCTGCCCTCTGCTCTTCTTCACACATGCTAGACCCGCTGCATGCATCCGCCTGACCACGAGTCAGGACGCCGTCCACCTGCATCTGAGCAGATGGCAGACAACCCCACACGGCAGAGCCATTCCCTGGGAGAAGGAAATCAGGCTGCAGAGGGAACTGCCCAGGCAGGAGACAACGAGGAAAACTCGATGGGAAATGCGAGCTTTGGAGTCAGACTGACTTGCGGTTGAACCTTGGCTCTGTCACTCGCTACAAGACTTTGGACACGTTATTTAACCTCTCTGAGCCTCAGTTTCCCTCCCTGGAAAAAATGGAGCTAATAATCCCTACTTTATAGGGTTGTTGATGATTAAATAGCACATGATTAATATAATATACAAAAGCGCTTATACAGTAAGTAGCATTGTAAGTGCTTGAGAAATAGTAGCCATTATATTTTGTTTTTATAAAACTAACAATCTAGCAGGTTTCAGTTGCTGCAGAACTGTTTTTAATGTATCACTTCACACCTCTGCTGTGGGGACGAGGTAAGCCAAAAGGCAGAAATCCAATGTGTGAATTCTTTAAAATGATCATTACTATTCCCTCTGGAAGATGTACACCCTCCCTCCCTCCCCACCATTCTTCCTCCCCTCACTCCCTGCACAGACCCTGGAAGAGTTGGGAGTGATTTCCTGAGCTCTCCTGTACTACTCTCTATTCTTGACAAGTTTCTTCTATTTCCCGCTGTCTACTGGATGAACCTAATGGATCTGCTCCTGGTGCTCGGCTAAGAGCAGAGGGCTGCTTTTCGCCAGTTCCAGCAGAAAACCGTGGCCTCCGGCAGAGGCGCCTACAATGCTCTCAGCTGACACCCTGAACTTTACACAGGTGCCATTTGAGATTCTCCAGGGAAGCTGCATAATTGCTCAGAAAGAGTGCCGTCTGATTGTTCCTTTCTCTGCAAGTGCCATCTCTCCTAATAACATCACCCACTGAATCCGCCTAATTCCGTCGGAATGCATTTAATTATCGCTGCTTCTTATGTTGGCGAGCTGTTGCTGGAGTTTTTGATGTGATGGAAAATAGGGAGCCATAAAGTATTTTGGTGACAGCTCCCTGATTAGCAGCATTGCAGCAAACAAGGTTGTCACAATAAAACTGATTAATCAAGTTGTCAAGTAAAACAAATTAATGCCACAAAAACTTTGCTAGAAATTACCACCAATCTTGGGGTATTCAACTGAGGATTCCTTCTATTAGTAGAAACTTCCATCTCATGAGCAACTCTTCCAAGTCTACACTGGGGATCTGAGCTGGGCCAGTTGCCTATGGCAGGGGAGTAACTGATAAACCAGAAAACATCTGGGAGAGGGCAGTCGCTGATTTGATTATTAGAGATGATTTGTTCCTGCCTACCTACTTGGATACTATTAGTACTGCAATATACTCTAGGAGCTATAAAGTTTTAATGCAATATAATACAAAGCCATTACCCCCAGCCCTACCAGGGGTCTGATTCACTTATATTAGTTTAATCACAGTCCTCTGGCTGGAAGGCACTCTGCAGTTCTTCTTGTACATTCTCTGTCTGGAGAAAAGACTTTGCTGATATCAGAGCAGCAACCACAGGCCCTTGTCTGCCACAGCTTGTTACACAGATGTGGATTTGTTACACAGAGCCACATCCTCTGACACCCACAGCTGATTGACCAGAGGTGCATGCACTTATCCTAAAATGAATGAGCTACCATCACAGTCCATCTCCCAAGATTTAACCAGGAGATGCAGACAGAATGGGCCAGATAGCTGTGGGAGCTGAAGGTAATAAGTTCCATAAGGTAACACAGCCATTAGGCATCAACAAGCCAGAGTTATCTAAGCCCGCACAAGCTTGAGGCAGAGAAAAGATGTAAGTGGAACAGAAGAAGTCAGGGCGTAGCAAGAAGAGAAAAGAGACAGTAGCCCGTGAAAGAGTTAGAATCTACACCTATCACCAAAGCAGCCTCCATTCCAGAAAATCTCCAGATTTAAGACCAGTTGTAGATTTGAATAAAATGCTCTCTACTTGAGAAAGCTGGAGTGGGTCTTTTTTCTAGCAAACGTGTAACAGGTGCAGGGGGAAGTGGTAGGCAATAGAGAAGGGAGGATAAGAAGGACCAACAGGAGTGCAGTGGGATTCAACTCTCAGCAAAAATTCCTCATAGCACACCAGAACAATCTCCTGCATGCCATCCCTGAGCATATGTTAGCTGTGCCCGTCTACAGGAGCCCACAACCAGCCCTGGCTTCCACCTGAACTCAGCATTGAAGAAAGGTCTAAAAACCCAAACACTGCTCCAGCCATGCCACTAGAACTGAAATTATAATGGAGTGTGTAAGTACTTGTTGCAGCAAAACCTGGCCAGC